TTTAGTAGCTTGGAACGGGCTGTTCCGGATTTGGAACGGACTGTTCCAAACTACCAAATTGTATGTGAGGCAATAGCCCAGAACGCGCCGTTCTCAAGATGGAACGGGCCGTTCCAGACTATTAAATATGCCATTAACCCTAAATGGGAACGGGCTTGGAACGGGGTGTTCCCAAAATTATGGTCGTTGGGTGTAATTAATGCACACCGATGAAACGGGCCGTTCCAGACTATTAAATATGCCATTAACCCTAAATGGGAACGGGCTTGGAACGGGGTGTTCCCAAAATTATGGTCGTTGGGTGTAATTAATGCACACCAAAACGGGCCGTTCTGGTTTTGGAACGGGCCGTTCTGGATGTGATTTTTAGCCATGGTTTAAGGGTCCAGAACGGGCCGTTTCGGATTTGGAATGGGCTGTTCCGGCACAGAATGCCTATATATAGAGCTGTTTGCCACTCCCAAAAAGCACACCTTTCATTTCTGATTTCTTTTCTTCTGCTCTCTCTCTTCTTTCCTCTACTTTCTACTTCAGACCGAGGGGAACCCAGCGAGGGAGATCAACCAGATCTAGTGTAGATATTCAACTTTTACATATCTAGATTCAGCTTCTTCATATCCAGGTACGGGGGAAAAGGGAATTATTTATATGTAGAGTTACATGAGAAAATTGGGTAGAGGAGAACCCTAATTTTATAATTATTTCTGTTTGAAGAATTATTGGTCTTATTTGATTATGTATGTATTTAGGAACATGGATATATGATTAATTGGTAAAAATGATGCTCTAGGAGAGAAAACGAAATTATAGAAAAGTGCCTATAAGTTAGGTTGTGAAAAGTTGGATGATTTCTGTTTGAGGAATGGATGATCCCATTAGATTTTGTATGTGATGAGGATTATAAATATTCCAATAATTTGTAAGAATGATGATCTGGGAGAGAGAACGAAATTATAGAAAAGTGCCTGTAAGCTAAGTTTTGGAAAAATTAGAATATTTCTGCTTGAGAAATTAATGATCCCATTAGATTTTGTATGTGTTGAGGATTAGAAATACATATTTAATTTGTAAGAATGATGACCTGAGAGGAAGAACGAAACTGTAGAAAAGTGCCTGTGAGTTAGGTTTTGGAATAATTGGGAATTTTATCGTTTATGTTAAGATTGTATTAAAATTGATTATTATATTAATTTATGAATCTTATTGCTATATTACTTGATAAAAATTGATGACTTAGATGTGAATTGCTTGAGATGTGCGTATGGAATTGAATTATGAGATGTTGTGTGGAATGTGAATGAGATGTGATTGTGGTTCTTCACACCTATGACCAGGGGTGAGCACGGCCCGAGATTGTTACGTGAGTATCGTGACCTTGGTTAACATGTCAGGGGTGAGCACGAAGAATGTTGGAAGACTTCATTACTCCTCTGTGAACATATGGAACCGCATAGTTTTGAACATGTTGTATTCCCCGGGAAGCATCCAAAGCAATTTTGATCCTCATTTTCCACGAATTAAACACACTGCTATGCTTGTCATGCAATTGATCATACAAGGACGCATTCTTCATGTACTCATACACCAAGAACCTCTCACCATTCTCTTGACAGAGCCCAACTACCCCAACCAAGTGCTTGTGGGGTGGTAGACGGGACCAGCTGGCCAATTCAGAGTTATTTAGACCCTTTGACCAGAAACCATCACTTTTGATTGCCACCTCACCACCATCAAAGAGTTTGCCTCTGTAGACATCACCAAAGCTTCCAACACCAATCTTGTTCCCAACTGAGAAATTGTTGGTGGCTTCTTTAAGCTCACGCAGGGTGAATAATCGTGGAAAAGTATGGAGAGGGGATGATTCAAAATTTGACATTGACGATGGAGTCCTACTCCTTATGGCTCTGTCAACTCGGGAATCAAAACTAGGAAGAGGGGATTCTCCCAAATTTGACGCAGTCTCACTCCTTATCATACTATCTACTCTCCAACTATAACTTGTTATTGCATCAACTCTCATTTCAAAGCTCTCAAATTCATCGCTATCCATTTGATTTGTCACGTGAAACTATGTATGTGCTTTGGAGGAGGCGTAGGGAGCTACTGCTGCTTTAGAATTAGACCCAAATATAAAGAGACCAAGGGAGAGGGAGGGGCAAACGCGTATTACTTGAACTTGAAAAGAGAAGCTGCGAGGCAAGGCCAGAGATTAAGCAATTTCCTACTTATTATCCTTCATATTTTAAATGTTGACTATACACTGTTCTAGAAATAACTCAAGATACAAACAAGTATGAAACATTACAAATGATCATATACAGTAAAATTAAATATTCCATAGGACAAAACTTACATGTATAGATTTCTCCATAGTACACCCAATAGGAATCAATAAGAACCACTATTGAAAAAAAATGATACTGATCAAAAGCATTTAGTCAATGATTACGGTACTAGAATGGAGAGAGGTGTGAACACTAGGATTGGTGAAGGGAGCCGGCACGCAGATGCAGTTGTTTATACCATTAAAGAAAAATGTTTATTTCTTCTTCATACAATTATAATATAAAAATAATAAGCATGAATGGGTCCATTGAATCGCTAAGGTGAAGCTTCTTTGGCCTTTCCTCACACCTTCGCTTCTCTTGGTTCAACTAATACGCGTTGTCCCCTCCCTCTCTATGTACTTGGGTCCAACACTCCTCCAAAGCACCTACATAGTTGATAGTTTGACATGGCAAATCAAATGGATGGTAGCATTGACATGACATTTGATGCAATAACAAGTTATAGTTGGAGAGTGGACAGTATGATAAGGAGTGAGACTGCATCAAATTTGGGAGAATCCCCTCTCCCTAGAACCTCTTTGCAATTAGACTATTTTCTTAACCACACCTTTAGGTATCTTGAAACGAGAAAGATAATACAGAGGTAGTGCCAACAAGACAAAATTAAATAGACAGATTCTCCCAACCATGCATATTCCACCCAATCTAGCTTTTTTTCTATTTTTTTTCTATGACCAATTTCCATGTGTCCTTCCTCCTCGGATTAACCCTTATTTGAATTTCTAGATACAAGAATGGTAAAGCCATTAGTTTACAATTCAAGATACTAGTAACAACTTTTCCAAGTCTTCTCTTTCAACTCCAATTACCCTAAATTTTCTCTCGAAGAAGTTAACTTTTAGGTCGGACGCGAGTTCAAAGCAATGCACTAGGAACTTAATGATATTCACATTGTTATGGTTGGCCTCACCCAAAAAAACTATATCATCAGCATATTGTAGGAGACAAACCTCAACCTAATTTTTTCCCACCTTGTATCCAAATAGATTCTTCTCTATGGCCATCATCATTATTCCGCTTAGACCTTATGCCACAACAACAAAAAGAAAAGGGGCAAATAGGTCCCCCTTGTCTAAGATATCCTTTTGCAAATCAAATTCTGCCATTAGACTACCATTAACAAGCACAAAGACAAATCAATAATCAAGCATTCATACATCAAATGCCTCTATTGTTTTCAAAAACCTAGTCTATGAAGCATGTATAGTAGGAAATCTCATGAAACAAAATAATACACTTTTCCATAGTCCACCTTAAAAAATATGCATTTCCTTTTTCCTCTTTTCACCTCATCCAAAGCCTCATTCATAGCCAAAACATAGTGTAACAAATTCCTACCACTCAAGAAATCACTCTATGATTGATCAATAATACTTGGAATGACCTTTTTTAGTCTATGACAAAATTTTAGCTAGGATCTTATAGATGCATCCCACTAGTGATGTTGCCCTAAAGTCATTCAACCCCACAGGAACCATTACTTTTGGTACCGAAGTTATGAATGAGGAATATTGCATCATCTTGATAATTTCCCATTTACAAAAAAAGTAGTTCATGCACCTTATTTTGTCTTTTTTTACTAAGTCCCAAAATGATTTTATAAAATTGAAATTTTAGCCATTTAACCCCTATCACATTCCCAAACAACTTCTTGGATCTCCGTTTCAACAAATTGTGAAATGAGAACATTGTTTTGGGTTAGTGTAGTCATTGGAAATAAATCCCATCTAGCCTAGGTCTTTGCCACTTATCCTCTTGAAATCTTTGTTCAAAAAATTTGCTTGACTTCTTCCTTTGCCTATCTTGGATCATCTACCCAAGTTCCTGCAACGTTCAAACCCTTAAGCTACTCTTCCTATATTTCCAATAATTACAATATGGAAATACTTGATGTTAGAATCACCCTCCAAAAGCCATCTTATCCTAGGTTTTTGTCTTAATATGGACTCATTCCTCAATGTCAACTGCCAAAATTGTACTTATGTATCCCTTATAGCCAGCTGTTCCTCCTCTAATAATTGTCCCCTTTCCTCCTTCCTATCAACATCACTTATTTTTTTTCTTTACTATTTTGAGTTATGACCGAATATAGTCGACAAACTATCCAGCATTCTAGAGTTTCATTTTGTTCCTTCATTCTCTTTAATTTTTCCTTGAGTACAAACGCACCTAGCCTTGCACCTGACCCTCTTTCCATGAATTTTCAACTAATTGCCTAATATTTTTATTTTGTAACCAATAGTTGAGCAACCAGAACGTATTCGGTCCCCAATCTACTAATAATTTTTTAGTAGAATGGGGCAATGGTTCGAGATATTTCTCTCCAGAATATGTTGGGGGATCATCCTAGCCACATTGTTAGCCATTCCCTAGAAATTAAAAATCCATCCAACTTACTTCTCTAGTTCTATTAGGTTGAAACCAGGTGAAGGGCATCCCCAATGATGGGACATTTTCTAGTTCCATATCAGATATGAACTGATTAAATTCTCATGTATCAACCTTCCCTACTTCAGATCTTGACTCACCTTGTCTCTCGCACCTCTTTCTAGTACTACTGAAATCTCCTACCACACACCCCATACAATTATTATTGTTTGCTTTTTTCTTCCTCAATTCAATCGACATCCTCAATTTTTTGGTTAGACTACAAGATGCATACACATCGACAATGGTTACTTGTATACCTTTCTCCTTCCACATACCTACCACCCCTACATATCCATCCCCTTCAAAATATATTCATCATGTCAAACACTGAGTTATTCTAAATGCACAAGAGTTACCAACTAAATTATTTGCAGGTTAAGTCACCAAATCAAAATCACTATCACCCCATAGTGATTGAGCTACTTGCCGACTAATATCCTCTTTCTTTGTCTCCTGTATACATAGAAATTGCGCTTCCTCTCTATTAACCAGATTCCTGATGTACCTCAACTTCACCTTCCCCCAACCCTTTTATATTAAATGACACTATCTTCATAAATTACACTTTAGTACTCCCTCTCTTTCATTGAGTTTCTCATTCGCTTACTAATTCCTCTTTTTTAGCACCTAACAGTATCTCCATAATTTATTTTTCATTCCCTCCATGTGTTACCCCCAATGACAAGGCCATCTCCCACAATTTTGTTTACTTCCTTACCCTGATTTTGCAACCAGAATATAATCGAAGAGATAATAGAGCAGGCCATATTAAGTCAAATGGTTTCAAGGACTACAAATTTTAAGTTTTCTCTTTTGATTATGTTCAAAGCTTGGCTTTGCCATATTGAAATTATGCTATCCTACATTTGCTTACTTTTATGTTAAATAACGTTAGTGGTTTTAGGACCTTGCAATTTAATGTAAGTGGTTCCTCAGTTTGTTTAATTTGTTGGATTATCCTACTTATTGTATTGCTAATAATTGGATTTCCTTGGATTCTATCATATTTATAATAGTAAACTAGTACATGATCTTCTTTAAAAGAAATTGATTATCTCTTTTAAACATTTTATTCTTGGGTTGGTTTTCTAAAAGTTTTAATCATAATGCGAAAAAAAAAACAAAAGTTATTTTGAATTTTCACTTAACAATAATGTCATTTGTTCTATAATTTCCTTGTATACATGATATATCATAATAATGACTGACTTGTGTTATTTTGATTACATTGCATTTGTTGAGATCTAATGCTTCTTAATAAAATGAAGTCGGTTGTGCTGTCATAAATTCTTATAATAGGCCGTTGACTTAGAATATGCATAACTTGAACTAGAAAGTCGGTTGTGGTTTTGAAGCTGATAAATGATTATTTCTAAGCAACACTTTTCATATCTTGGAGCCTAATAGTCTACAGATTGCTCAAAATGCACCGAAAGCCATATCCATCTTTTCCTTGCCTTTTGCCTAGGAAATTCTTATTCCTACAATCCTAAGCTTGTTAGAAAGCTAATGCATTTAAGAGAGGCCACCCAAAAATTCCCTTAAAAACTTTTGTATAGTTTTTTTACATGCAAAACAACTATTTTCATTTTTATATATATATATATATATATATATATATATATATATATATATATATATAATCATTTTCCGTTCAATATATATATATATATATATATATATAATGAAGAATGATCCATTTACTCCAACTTATTTCATTAAATAACACATGTTTTACATCAAATTTCAATGATCCAACCATTGAATTTAAAGTTCTTAATGGATAAATCAAATCTACAAAATTTTAAAAAAAATTAAAAATTATTTGATACTTCACTTCATTAATTCAAATCAACGTATAAAATATTTTTATGATTACCCGTCAATTTGAATTAATGAAATGAAGTATTAAATGATTTTCAAATTTCTGAAAAATTTATAAACTTGATATATGTATTAAAAATCTTAAATTTAACAGTTGAATTGATGAAATTTAATGTAGAACATGCGTTATTGAATGGAGTAAGTTTAGATAAACTCTCCCAGAATAAATGAATCTCTCATATATATATATATATATATATATTAATTGAATTTTCTTTCAAAATAATAAAAAGTACATCACAATTACACAATTAATTCATGCATGGATCACATTTGATCAAATATAAAACAAATGAATATATATTATATATATTATACCAATACCAATCGTTTAAATATGTATTCTTCGTGTGATTACAGCGTTTTCCCTTTTTTCTTTTTTGCTTTTTCTTTTTTCTCTATGTATAAGATTAGTTATGTAATGCATTCTCTAGTTATATTAATAAAAGAGGACCTTGTTTTTTATTTTTCAATTATTAGAGTAAAATGGTTTTTATGCAATACAAAGTTGATTTTTATATATAGCAGATGATTTTCATTTACAACATTTTCTCATTTGGTCAATCTTTATATTTTTATGCATTCTTTTGGGAAAATTGGTTGGTGATGTTATACCTGGGACCCATGGTCCATGTCCTGCATGAGATAGCATCTCAAGTTTTGTACATTAGAAATTGATGGAAATGGCTTGTAGGAGTGGTTGATGATCTCCTCCAAGCTTCATCTCCTTTGTCCAATCTTTTCTTGAGGTTGAGACTTGAATGCGAAATCAAGGAAGCAAGCATCAAAACTTGAGAAGCAACCAATGAGATTCAG